GTGATGAAAGTTCAGCAGGTCACGGCCCGCATGCCGGTCATCAAGCCATTAGCGCACAAGCGGGCCCTTATCTCGGATAGGGGAGTCATTAATTGTCATAATTGTGCATTATCAAAGTGACTGTATCCTCTACAGACTGCAATTCCCTGCGCATGAATTACCCATTTCTGCTACTGTTTAAGTCTGAGGAAGAATCCGTGACGGGCGGAGGAAAGTCTTGTTCCAGCGATCGCATCTTCTTCTCCATGTTAAGATATAGCTTCCGTTTTAGACCGGACACGGTCTGCTTATCAGTGAAAAAATTTCCTTAGGTATGGCTCAGAAATTCTAGAAGTTGGAATGCCATTTCCGGGAAATTTAGGAGAAAAAAAACTGTCGTTCTTGGGAGGAAAGTGTGTGCGAGTTAGGACTAGCATGCTGCTGATACTGTTTAAGGCAAGCCAGGGGAGCCCATCTCGTTTAACATCCTTATCCTAAGGGTCATACGAGGAGGAAGAGACCGCAGAGGTCACGAGAACATCCCGAAGATGCGACCAATGTACGTCCTTGCTGTTTTGTGAGGACCGACAAAAAACGCACGGGTTTAGCTAGTTATTTTGAAAAGGTACTTAATTTACCGAGTATGCTTTTACAACAGGAACTGTTTGGAGGTGCTGTGAAAACTCAAACGCACAAAGGATTACTTCCAGTACCTATACCATAATAGACCAGGCAAGGGCTTTTAAAACAACCATACTAGGTATTTATGTAAATTGAACCCATAAGGGTCATACAACCTATCCTTACCAATCCGGATTCTTTAGTCATTGGGTGTTAAGTCCACTACTACCACTGAACCACTTAGGTTCTTCGAAGGGCACCCTGTCCACCTTGTACTCCTGGCCTTTTACCTTCAAAAAGCTTGTAGGGTATATCAAAATTGTGTTTTTCCGCTCTTTAAAACTCCTCCCTCAGTTAATTATCGGGTCAGAATCAGTTAAAAGTCCCCCTTCCCACTACTGGCTGTAAATGAGAACACGTAATATCTGTGGCTTTTCCTTAAATTTTGGGGAAGGTGAATTTTTCTATCTCTCCATCCCCAAGCCTTAACCATAGCTTTAAGTTTAACTCTGATTTTCCCGGAATTCATTGGAAAACCATCCGTATCATAGGCGGTTCCTGCTCCCATGTCCTGTTCGGGAGCGGAGGAGAGGAAGCCATATAACGGATCCTTACTCATGGGATTTCGGAGTGCAGGTGTCAATCGTTGTGCGCCAGCTTTAACGATTGATGCATACTATTGGTGTTTAAGCTATTGCGAGTAATTTGACGTTGTTTTCAAAACCATCATCTCTTTTTCCGAGCCTTTCGTACTAATCCCGATTTCTTTCATATTATCACTACCAATCTGACAACGTCTCGGCAAGGGAACCGTAAAGTAAAACGTCCGCTATGCATATTTACTACTACTGATTACAGTTATTTTTCCTAAACGACCACTTTCGAATGCGAGGAACCTTATTTGCTATCCGTTTTACTAGTTTCTTTATTATTGTACCTTTCAGAAAATACCTGGATGCAGAGTGTCAAGACAAGCTCAAGAAGTCGCTTGACGGCCTTGAAAAGTGGAAGAAAATCAATACCAGGGTAGGTACATGAGCCTTGCTCCCCCTCCCCACTGTTCTTCGATTGATCA